CACACACACACACACACACACACACACACCTACTGAAGTATAAATAAAGATTGGGGCAGTTTCTTAGTGCGAGTCTCAGTCTGGAGGCTGCCCTTGCTAGCAAGAAGTTCTGTGTGTTTCTCTTCTCTGAGTCTTTACTGAAGAAGTGTTTTAGAATATTTTCCCTAACAGAAAGCCAATGAAAAACATGTTTTCTGTTATTATTATTATTTTATTATTATTATTATTGTTCTACCAGTAGCAGTAGTAGATATTCTCAAAGACTAAAATTTGAACATATGGCATTGGTATGAAGCATCAGAGAAACTTCTGTAAATCAAAGTTTCTTTTGAAAGTGTTTATAACCTGCAACTCTTAAGAGCATTATGACCAAACAGGCATGTAACATTAAATTCATGTTTCCAGTAGAGACCAAAAAAACAGTTATTTATTATTAATTAGTCTTCTGGGACCTCCTGGAGATAAATTCTTTTAGTAGTTGTTTTTGTTTTTTAGTTTACTGCTATCTCCTTAATCTAAATATATCTTTATGGGCAGTATCTCCACCATTTCCCACCTTGTCTCTATTATGAGCTCTCTAACAAAATCAAAATAAATGCCCACAAATGTCTCACCATTCTTTCCAGCGAAGCTCCTGTTGAAGCCACGGTCATTAATGGTAGCCACAGTGTCCTCGGAGGTGCCATGGAAAAGACGTCTCTCGTTGTTCTGGTGACCATTTCTCCCCTCCATGTCACGCTTCTTAACCTGTAGACCGCTCCACAATGTAGGGTTCTGGATCCTCTCAATCTAAGAGCAAGAAAAGAAACAATTTACATAACATCCTCACAATGTGTCAAATCTACTAACACTTGAATATTACTGGGCAACTTTTACAGTTTCAATGAACATTTTAATGTCGTTTATTGAGATATAAATTGTGTCACCTGCTGCATTGTAAATTTACTTAATCCTGAAAAAACACTTTAATCTCGTAATCTGACTTGGCTAATGCTAATGTGATAAAACAATAGACAATGTGATTGATGCTACCTTGATAATGGCTTGTTTGCATGAGGCCTGGAACAGCTTCTGGATTTCATCATACTCCTCTGTCCCAGCTTGTAATGGGAAAGCCTGATTGGTGGCGTTAGGTTTCATTTGTTCCCAGTTTTCAGGAACATCACCTAGTAACAAATTAATTAAAAAAACAAAACAAAATAAAATTGTATAGCTTTTGGGGAGATATTTTAGCTTTCAGTAGTGAAAACTCTGAGAGACCTACCAGTAGGCGAAATCATGCAAGATTTCAAATGCTAACACACTGCTGATCTCTTATTACTACTTTGAGAGGACTAAATCTCTTGGTTTTATTAAAATACCTTTTAGCTTGTCAATTCTCTTTATCTCCAGGATATTTCCCTGGCTGTCAGTTGCAGGTCCTTTTGGCATGGTGACAGTGTAATCTTGACCCTTGACTGTAACTTTTACAGTTTGTAAATTTTGTTGCAGTGCTTCCTCGAGGTAGAAGTTGGTCCTTTCATCAAAACTCTGAAACTGGAACCCAGACTGCTGATACTGCCAGTCTGCCGCAGCGCTGGCCAGCTCCACTTTCCTGTTTAGTTCCTCCTCGTCTCTCACCCTGCTCATCATTTTAATGATTTCAGTGTTAGCTTTGAGCACATCCCTGCTGAGTCCTTCAATAGTGATTGTGGCTTTTGGCTTGTTGCTTTCAGTCCTTATGCTGATGTCCATGGTCTTCTGCATGTCAACAATTTTCTGTCGATCTGCATCAGAGAAACAAAGGATGGCATTGTCTCCAATTTCCATGCTGTGATATTCTTGGGATATCTTGTCATTTATCCATTTCTTTGCAGAGTCAACACTGGTTTGTGTGTCACCGCAAATGTGGAAACAAGTAGCCTCCACTTTCAGACTGTCAATGACAAAATCCTTGTCATTCTTTGGTTTGTCAGCACTTCCACCAGTAAAGATTGCTGAAATAACAAATTTCAAAAAACAACATTAGAACTTAACATTTGAAACTGATTAGAGATATGTGATTTGAGAATGTGAAACCAAAAGCTCTTTGTTCTGTGTATTTACATTTGAATTTGCTCCATCCCCAGGTCCACCCTGCTTTATCCTTAGAATCGGGATCAGCAGCTTCCCTCTGTTGCATACTGCTGTGGAAGTCTTTAAGCATAGGTTTCTGGAAAATAACTATGCGAACTATAGTCAGGGGGCTGGCAGTGTTTTGGCTCAACACATCAGTCACTGCATCCAACATGGCATCAGCCACCAGTCTTGCCTGTGCATTGCCTTGACCTAAAAAAAAAAGGGACAACACACATTGAAGACTGCTGGGGCGAGCCACATCGACAGATGACACCAAACACTATTATCACTGTTCCTGGCTCTAAAATTTCTCCATAAACCTTCTTTGAACTTGATGTTAAATTTGTTCTGTGATAAGGAAATTTGATGTATCTCTCAATACACATCTTTCTAAACACAAACTGACTGCAAATTAAATCCAAAGAAAATAATAAAAGCATTTTAAATTGTATTTAAGTACACAATGCCTCCTTCTAATGCAAATATGTCAATAGAGAAAGAGCACAACATGTCATACATTTGAGGAAACAGTTCACCCCAAGATAACAAAATGCCTTTAGTTGGCTGAAAACAGAGGATTATTCATCAGCCTGTTTTTAGCAGTTAGAAAGCTTCAGTAGGAAGTTAGGAGGCTTTTATAATCATAGCATTCATCACAACTTCCTGAATTACATCATTCCAGTACAGCCCAAGCTGCAGCCTGTCAACATATTTTAGCTTAACCTACAAAAAATATCATGGCCTAAAACTGACATTTACATATGTGACCTGTCAGTGACAAAATGCTTTCTAAACCTCACCTGTGCCAATGGCAGGAAATGATACAGAGGTGAAAGAGCTTTTCACACATAACTGGAGTGCATCTTTCACAGTCTTGTTGATTTTTACTGGGTCTGTCTGTCCAGCCAGGTGGAGGATCTTTTTACACTTCAGGTTACCGGGGCTCGTCAATACCATGCCTGGATTGGGCTCAGCACCTAAAGGTGAAGGTAACATATGTTAATGAGCCTTATTAAAAATTTCAGTGTGTACAAGGCCATACTATCTGGTGCCAACTCTGAGTTACAGCGTTATAAAAAGTTGGTGTGATTTCTTACCAAGGTTGCGACATTCCACTTCAACAGCCGGACCAGCTGCTTCTAGAATAGCTTTAGACACTCCTGGAGAAGGCAAAGGTTACATCACCACTGAATACATACTGTACATATAATCTGAAAGATACAATTACTTTGTGACCTTCTTTCTTATTTGTGTATTATTATCCAGAGGTGTGGACTCGAGTCACATGACTTGGACTCGAGTCAGACTCGAGTCATTAATTTTATGACTTTAGACTTGACTTGAAAAAATGTTCTAAGACTTGTGACTTGACTTGGACTTTTACACCAATGACTTGGGACTTGAATTGGACTTGAACCGGTTTACTTGAAAAGACTTGATATTTTACCCCAAATATAAAATTTAACACGCATATTATATAGAGATTGAAAATGTGACGTCATTCACGGGTAGAACCGCAAAGGATTCTGGGAACTCGTGGCAAGCGGTACTAGCGCACACAGGCTTTCAATTAAAATCAGTTACACAGCGATAAAAAGAAACACAAAAATGTCAAGAAGCTGTTGTATTATTAACTGCAATAGCCGGTCGCATGACAGCCACGGGAAGCCGACGGGTAAAGAGATCGGTTGTTATCGGATTACGTCGTTGAAGAGAAATTGTTCGAGCCATGTTTCCGAAGTAACAAAGACGACTGGATTGCAGCCATTCAAAGACCAAATATAACGTCCCAGAACACTCCAGCTCACGGGTTAGTCTGCTCCAAGCATTTACACGAAGGTCAGTGTTTTTTAGTAGTTAACACGTCATTTTTCTTAACATAATTGGTGATATTGGTTACAAGCAAGTCTGGCGCTGAACAGAAATTGTCGCGCTATGCTTCTTTGTTTATTGTGCATAAATAGTAAATTATCCTGACACAATATTGCGTTTCGCTTCTGTTATTATGGTACATTGACAAAAACATATACTTTTATTCACAGGGTAAAACAGTTGTTTTGTATCACTAATTGGCAAGTACGATCATAGCATACAGTATTATTGTCACTGCTACATTACTGTGATGCTACCAGAAATTATTTCCACTACTAATTAATTACCGTTGAGCTCAAAGGTCCTATTAATAAACGGTTAACGAATGTGTATTTATGAAGACAATTTGTGAGACTGGTAAACTTATGATACGTACGATGGTCTTTCGTTCTACACGGTGCATTTCAAGGTCCTGCACCCATCCGTCGGTAAACTGTACCTGGGCTTGTTGCAGTGACCTGAAGTTACTAAACTTCATGAGTGTATGCACTCACTCCAAGAACCGTATAATTATAAATCTGCATATAAATATGCTAAGATGAGATAGCTGACTTCATCTAACTAGCAAATGTTGTCCAGGCTACGTTGGTGATACAGTTTTTTTTAATGTGTATGATATTTTTGTCATGCGATTTTAAAGCCGGTCCTACAACCGCATCCAAGAATAACATGCAGCTTATCTCAGAACTGTCGGTGAAAATTATTCTTGGAGCTAGGTTTAATTGAGCTGCATTTTATAGAGGTGCAATTTCACAATTTGTGTATATTTTCTAAGTTCACTATTTTGTCATGTGTTGAGAAAAACACAGATTTTAAAATTACATGGTCTAATATTTACATTTAGCATAACTGCAACATTATTTTTTCGTTGTTGTTTTTTAAAGACTCGAAAGGACTTGAAATTCAAAGTTTCAGACTTGTGACTTGACTCGGACTTTTACACCAGTGACTTGAGACTCGACTCTGACTTGCCTGACATTACTTGAGACTTGACTTGAGACTTGAGGATAAAGACTTGAGACTTACTTGAGACTTGCAAAACAATGACTTGGTCCCACCTCTGTTATTATCTAAAAATACTTTAAAGATGTGGACTATATTTACATATTATCCTCTATATTGTACCTAAATATTAATATATAAATATATATTATGTCTAATATATAATATTAAATTAAATATTATTATAATATCTTTAATATTTATATGTCAAAATAAATATTTAGAGCAGGAAAAAAATAATAACAACCGCTGTTAACGGTTTGGCACAGCTCAAGCACTGTAGTTCTTACTATGATGACTTAAGAGTAAAGTTTTTTTTACCTGACTTAAGAGTAAAGTTTTCATTGGAGGAGTTGACAATGACATCAGCGGTCTCCTTGGTTATGTCTCCTGTTACTACCTGTATAGTCACATTGCCCATTTTGGTCTCATGCATGTCTGAGGTTGAGGTGATTTTAGAGAAGGGGCCTCCTGGAAATGGATGAAAATAAAGAATTATCAGCAATAAATTATTACAAAACAGAACTTCATTAATTTTGACTACTAATTTAATTGTCCATTAGGATATGGACAAATAATACAGTTTATTATTACAGTTAGTACAAATGTTTGTACTAACTGTTTTGTTACATTTCTTTGAAAACAGGCAAAAATACATCTATTTTTTGTTTCGTTTGTATTGTTTTATTTGGTAGCATTATATAGCAACTGCATATCAAACAGTGTTGCCTGCCTTTACTTTGTGTAGAACTTGTTGAACCACTTGAGGCGCTGGGAAACTTCTTCTGAAATTCATCACTGAAAGCCTGCAGACAGAAAAAAAGAAGAGCGATTACTTTAACTGAATCTCACCAATTTGACACCAAACCTGAAACTAAATAACACAACAGAACAAGTTTAATTACTACTGGAGGCTGTCTCCAAAAGTAGGGCCCATGCCCATAGAAGAAATATGTGTGTTCATTTGTGTGCTGTACTTTATCTCTGCTAACTTGAGTCAACATGGTTAATATTACTAACAGCCTTCCAAGACGTTTTGATGAGTTAAATACTAGTATTTTATTAATTAATTAATTTTTTGTTACTTGTTGCCAATTATTTTTTTTTAATTCAACCTTCAATTATACAAGTAGTCCCATTGAGATTTAACAAGTACGATAAACATTAAAATTACAACAATAAAAAAAAAAAACACTAGGGTAGCTAAAATTGTCTAATGACTACACAGTGATCAAAAAGTATAAAAATCTCTGAGATAAAATATCAGAGTATATGGATGCAGTATGCCAGGTTTTCTGGCATTAGATGATAATATTGTCCCCATATGGTCACTTCTACCCCCAGCAAAAGAAGATTACAATGGAAACAAAAGAAAAATAGATTTTACTGGTTAAAAATGCTGATGGTTAATTGACCTAAAAGATTTCTGGTTAGCACTGAGAATGTGTTGCTTCAAAGCTTGTTATTTTTTCTTACCTGGATAGTTTGTGTATCACTGGGGTAAAGTACAATCACGACCTTCTTCAGATGCTTGGGGTGTTTCTTTTTGCTAAACTCTAAGATTTTATCCAACAACAAAGAGGCTACACGATCTTTTGGGAAACCCAGGTTTCCAGCACCAATGGCTGATAAGGATATGGAGGTTAGATTATTATCCTCTGCCATGTTCAAGCAGTCCTTAAAGATTCCTCTCAAAGTCTGTAAGACAGTTATATATAAAGACATTCATCATGAAAGTTGGATCAAACAGGCTTTTTAACCTCGAAGCTTAAACGTTTACCTTTATAATGTAAGGTACTTCACCTTTTCAGATGTGGCTTGATCCTTATAGTGAGGTGCGACTGCATGAAAGACTTTTTTGCTTTTTAGTTGGCAGCCATCAGTAATAATGATCTCACCAACATTTCCAGTAGCACCCTGCGCATCTACTAACTGCTGAAGTTTGGGTCCAGCTGCACGCAAGATGGCTTGTGAGACTGCACCTGTGTTGAGGTCAAGGTCTGAAGACACAGTGTTCACAATCACCTCCGTCTAAAAATGGTTAGCAGACTGTTAGTACATATTTATCATGTACTACCCCC